TGCAATAAATTGCAAATCCTGCATAAATCAACTGCATGATGTAGTCCTGGACTGATTATTAATAGAGATTAGAAGTTAGACAGAGTGACTAATTAGGGATAGATAGGTGTCCACTGATGACCAAGATACTGCGATGTACAGGGAATCCTATTTTTAGACCTACCCTATTGACTTCACCACTGACCCTGTATGCCATACCCTGGGTATTGCGAATTACAGTTTTCACTGTAACTAACTCCGAACATCAAATCTGGATGTGCGATTTCAGACAGACACTGTATACTGAATTGCGATTTACTAGGGACTAACATAATTAGACTGCTTGGTGATAATGAATGCAAATCAGAATTCCATGGCCATACTTGAATTCTGACGGACAGAATTGAAGTTATGACTGACCCTAGTCTAGCCGAGCTTCAGCTATGTCAACGCAAAATTCAAATTTGCATTATCAATGACAACAGAACTCTGAACACACAAATTCACTACACAGGTTGAATCGCAATACTGTAAAACAGTCATAGATGAAATTTGAGTTAGGAAGAAGGTCAAACAGGGTTAGTAGAAGTCCAAGAAGATAGGTAGGGGAAGTGGATATGGCTGTCCCACAGTCTGAATTTCGATTTTCAACTGTCTACTGACCGACAGACCATATTTCGCTAATCTAAAAATAGACCCAGAAATGCCACATAGAGCCGAGTAATGAACACACTTACTTCAGGATCAATTTTGAAGAAGATGCATGAAACTCTGGCTATGGCTGACTGGTCAACCCCATCTCGCCAGTTTTATCTCCTGATAGTTCCCAGTGTTCCCACGTACCAAACCGCTTGAAACTTGGTGATCCAGCAGATTACCCTGAGGCGCTTCACCCCCAGCTGACAGATTCAATGAATTTGGACTCCCAGGTGCAGATAATTGACAATCTCACTGCATCGCCACTTTACCCTATACTGCGCTGCTTGGAAATTGGGGATCCTGACCCAATTCCAAAATCACAACCTCCTGGGATCACTTCCTTGCCAATCGCCAGTGTCTAGGTGAATCACCAGGCTAAAAATAGCCTCTCAGAGCCTCCCAGGCCTCTGAGCACCAATCACCGACAGTGTCTAGGTGAATCGCCAGGCTAAAAATAGCCTCTCAGAGTCTCCCAAGCCTCTCAGCACCAATCACCAACCACTCCTGCACAACTCTAGTCAGGAGTGAGTCAGCCTCTGTCCAACTCTTCTTGCCACACACTCACCACCACCACCCTCACTGTCGCCAACCCTGAAGATGATGAATCGCCATGAAACTCAACTCCAATATCTCGCCAGATGATGATGGTTGCTCCAACTCATCAATCGCTCCAGTGTCTGGATCCAATGCTCCGATACCAACTGTTATGATTCTGGTTGTCTGTTGTCTGAAGACCAACACTCACTCACATAGACTTCCAGGTATGCCCATACATACACAGAAGGAAGGAGAGAGGATAGGAGTATCACACCACACAGGGAGAGATAAACACAGCGGACGACTGGACCATGCGATATGACAGGGTACACTGAAAGTGCAATTCACTCCACTCAATCCTCACAACCAGTCATAAAGAAAAGCCGAGTAGATCACATCCAGGAAACAATGAAACGATGATAGTCCGAACCCCATATCAACACTGTTTATTATACTCAGAGTCTCGAATTGTCAGAATAACTTCAGAACTATGATGCGCTGCTCAGAGATGAGCAGCACTTCACTCCCCAACCCTGATGAACCTCTATCACTACCCCTGAGTCCCTGAAACATCAAGCGGCAACTAAATACAGCCTCCACAGGCAAGTGCCACCCTGAAACAGGTCTCTGAGACCAAGCGCCACTCAGAGGATGAAGAAGAAGACCAGCGCCACAGTATCTGATGATGACGAAGTGTCGAAAGACTTCCCGGGTGGAAGTCTGCAGCAGCGCCACCACCCCTGACAAGATGACCTCTGAGAACGAAGCTGCAGCTATGGCTGCAGCGCCACTACCCTGGAACCCCACTCCGGAGGAGGGTCCAGCAGGGCACCAACTTCTCTCGCCTCCAGCAGACCTCAATAGCCCAGACCTTTGTTGAGCCCCACGTGCTGACAGAGTACAGCGCAGGTCCCAGCTATGGCCGGCGCTCCGAAGGTCTGGCTATGTCTGTCTCCCACAAGGCTGAGCCGTCACCACTTCCGGTTCACGCGTAGCGCAGCAGCGATGTACTCGGTACCAACTGCCAAAAGCCCTGAACCGATGTACCCATCCTATCTATAGACTAAACTAGCCTAGACTGGACTAACTGACCGACCGGTACCGATTCAGTTTCGGCCTCTCAGCCTCTACCTTACCCGGCTATAGGCTATAGGACCGTCTAATAGTATAGGCCTTTAGGGCCTGTCTGTCCTAGGGGTAGCCCAGGCCTGCTATTCACAGTTAGGGTAGCAGTAGGAAATTCAGTTAGTACGGGCCTGTATTTTCCCGTATTTACAGATATGTCCCTCACGAATTTCCTTACAGGCAGGTCACTCGGTTAGCCCTCAGCCAAACAAAATTACGAACCTATCCTACCTATGGTACAGCCTCGACAGAGAGAGGCTACAGACGACCAGAAACCAGCAAGTCATTGCATGCTCATAACCTCACTACTATTATGTCTCAACCTCTATCCTTAGTACCTGTTGTAAGCATTTCTCGGCCTCTCAACAACTGTTTGAAACCCTTCCTGCAAACTTATCGATGCTACTGTGTCAGCCGCCAAGAACCGCCATTTTAATCCTCAGCTAAACATATGACTAACTCAAGAGCTTCATTTCGCCTTAGTATAACGATTCGTACTCGATCTAAGTCTAAACGGATCAGACCTACTCACGGTCTGTTACCAGCCCAACCATGGCTCGTTGGAACTCGCGTAACCTTGACACTCTACCACCACCCTCCCTCTTTAGTGCCTCCTGCGGCCGCCCAACTCTAACCAGGGAACCGAGTGTCCTGGTTCCCAATCAATCATTCACCTCGCCTACCTGTCTACTGTCTTTCCCAACGTTACTTCTGGCAGATCTTGGATCCAGGGGGAGAGAACTAGGCCCCGCGCGAGATGGACGCCTGCTAATTGGTGCCTGTGAGCCCAGGTCTTGGAAAATGTTTGGCAAACCAAAAAACTTACTCAAAAACAAAACAAAACAAAAAAATCTTAACTTTTGAGCACTTTTTTTCCAAACATTATTGACACCGAAAACCTGTAGCTTGACAGATGGCAGACACAAACACCCTGTGACACATGGCACAAAAAAAAAAAAAAAAAAAAAAAAAAAAAAAAAAAAAAAAAAAAAAAAAAAAAAAAAAAAAAAAGAGCACTATGGAAGCAAGGACAACAGGAAAAGATTAGGAGGCAGAGAGGGGCATGCAATGCAATACGTTCGAGTAACAGCAAAACTAGTAAAAAAAAAAAAAAAAAGATTGACAGACAATAGGGTGGAGGAAAGGTTAGCAGTAGTAGTAGGAGGAGGAGGAGGAGGTTTGTCCACCAACAGTGAAAAGACTGGCAGTCTTGATCAGACTGTATTCACTGCGAACCTGCACTGTAAATTAACATGCTAGTCAATTGAGAGGCTGAAGAAGACCGCAAGCCAGGCTACCACGAGCCCGACCGAGCCAAGAAAAAAAAAACAATAAAAAATAATAAAATATTTAATATTCAATATATTGTATAATTTGATGTTTTATTTAAAATTTGGTAAAGAATTTCAATGCGACCCTGAGGCAAAAGTTGTTCAGTTTATTTTTCTGCATAAGTTCAGCATAACATAGTTGTTTTTTTTTCCCGATTTTTTTTTTTTTTTTTGGCAGGGAGCTTCCCTGGTCCTTGCCGCCCGGGAAAACAAGGTGACCCGGGCGGCACAGCTGGTAGCCTAGACTGCAAGTCAATAATTGCTCTTGATGGGAATGAGGAAGAGAACAGGGAGGGAAGGAGAGTCCTTCGTGACATCTGTTAAAATTGGAATGATACAGAGAAGGAAGATTGGAATGGCCCGTGCGCAAGGACGACACACATAAATCGAAAAATGGTCGAAATTCTTACTTCAAAAAAAAAAAAAAAAAAAAAAACAAAGGGCGGGCAAAAGAGATCTCAGCAGATGAGATGAGGAATAAAGCACTTCAAATGACTAACTATCAGGGGCATACTCGCAATAGGACTTTTTTTCTACATCACTCTGGACGTAATTGCATTCAAAAAAATCATCCACCTCTGACCATACTTGCAGTCAGATACATTGAAGAAAGTGCTAGTTTGGGAACACCTGATGCCCTCATTCAAACCTGTGGGACACTCGTCTCTGCGCCGGTAACATGCAAGTTTGGGAAAGAGTGGCAATCGATAGACGAGCAATATCCACTTGGAACCTAGGCTACCAGAGTGGTCCGGGGTCACTTGCCCAGCCGGGCCCCAAAAAGAAAGAAATAAATAAATAAATAAATAAATGAATAAATAAAAAAAATATATATTTTTACATTTTATTTCTTATTTTAAATTTGGTGAAGAATTTTGATGTGACCCTGAGGCAAAAGTTGTTCAGTTTATTTTTCTGCATAACATAGTTTTTTTTTTTTTTTTTTTTTTTTTTTTTTTTGCTGGGACCTTCCTTGGTCCTTGCACGGGCTGGCCACCCGGGACCCGGGCGGCCCGGCTGGTAGCCTAGCTTGGAACATATCTGGCAGCAGAGTGGAAGAAGAGATTGATTTCCAATTTTCCATTCAAGAGATGACACTCGTGATGTCCTTCCTTCGCGACATCCGTCAAAATGGGAACCATACAGAGAATGAAGAGATCTCCATGACCCCAGCGCAAGCATGACACACATTAATTGACAAGAAATGGTCCTTTTGATTTTCTTTTTTTCTTTTATCTTTTTTTTTTTAAGAAAAAAGACGACATTGGTGAGACTAAATAGTGGTTTGGGAACCATGTTGACCTGCATGTCATCCCCTCCCAACCCCACCTTTAGCTTAACAAGCTTGCCAAATGAGGCTGGTATTGCTGACAGAAGATTCACAGCCAGGTTTACCTGCCCAAAAAGTTGAAAAACCCAAAAAAAAAGAAAACCACAGCGAAAAAGGTTAGAGTCCGTCAGACACCTCAGGTTGATCTATCTATAGAACCACTCGATACGGGGACAGCGCACACCAAAAATAGAAAAACTCTTATGCCTGGTGTTCAAGAAAGACAGCAAAAAGTTACAAAATTGAAAAAAAAAAAAAAAAAGGCCATCAGGAAGGAGGGAAGGAGAAGGACGAGGAGCTTCCATAGCTATGCACGTTCTTCCTCCATCATCACCCACCTCAATCATCCATCCTCCATAGCCGTGCACCTTCCTCCTCCATCATCATCTACCTCCAATGCCCTCGATCACTTATCCTCCATAGCCATGCACCTTCTCTCCCCATCATCACCTATCCTCCATAGCCATGCATCGTCTTCATCCATCATTACCTTCCTCCATCACCCATCCTCCATAGTCATGCACCTTCCTCCTCCATCATCACCCATCCTCCATAGCCATGCATCTTCTTCATCCATCACCACCAACCTCCATCAGGAGGAGGAGGAGGAGGAGGAGGAGGAGGAGGAGGAGAGAGGTACTCAATAGCAACAACTATAGCATACAGTGAATGCAGCCAATGACAGCCATCATTATATGCAGCCTGTAGTGTGTTGTAACATGGTGTGCTTAAACCACCAGTACTTGGCCCGGCTCTTGGCCGCGGAAAAAAATAGAGTAGAAACGTTTCTAGTTGGATGAATTTGGTCGCTCCTGTAGTGGCCCGTACGTTTCCTAAAATCGTGGCGTGTTAACGGGCACTACTTTAGGAAGTACTGGTGGTTTAAGACAACATATGTAGGCATTACCGTTAACTACGAGAATTGACGGCTTGCGCCTACAAGAGAGGGGGATGGAAGGAGGAGAAGGAAGCCATCATTATATGCAGCCTGTAGTGTGCCGGTCATCAAATGACAGGAAGTGAACAAGGAGAAAACAAAAGTGCGACATGGAGAAAAAGGAAGGAAGGGAGAATAAGGAAGGAAGAGAGAATAAAGAGAGGGGGAGGGAAGGGAAGAAGAGGAATAAGAGAGGGGGATGGACGGAGGAGGAGGAGGAGGACGAGGAGGAGTGGTAGGAGCAGGGTATTCAATAGCAATAACTAGAGAGTGCAGGCAGTGCAGCCATCATCTATTCACGATAATAGTAGTCGAGGTTGGATGCTAGGCCTCAGGAGACACCTGTAGTACTCGGCCATGGGAGGATCCAATGGGTCGCGAACTCGCTAGGGATTGTCTGCCCCCGGGGGATGTCTTTTTCCCCTAGTCTAATCTCATAGCAGATCGCGAGCCGAGCCCTACAGCAGTGCACCCTAGCCTACCCCTAAGCCCACGCATAGCCTACACTTACCCGCAAACCTTCCGGGGAGCTCACCATAGGGACACCTCTAAGGCCCAACCCTGCGATGCCACCGGGTACGGCCTAAGTATGTGGTTCCCTGGTTAGAAGACGGCCCCAGAGGACGACCGGGGAGAAGGTCGACAGAGCCGCCAGGGTAGGGGAACTGAAGAGCAGCAGTCATGGATCGATGGCACAGGAGGGGTCCTGTAGAGACAGTCATACCCCCTCTTGTGTCCCATCAAACAGACTCTATGGGCAGCTATCCACCCTTCAGCTATCAATGCGACGTCCAACCCACCTTCTACCGATAGTTGATGCTCCTAGCCAGAGACTCTCCCAAGGATACCATCCCGGCTGAACCCTCAAAGGGAGTTCCCACTAATACCATCTCGGATGGCATGCAGCCCCAACATGTAGGCATCGTAAGGTATAGAAGGGAAGCCCACCCTCAGGAATCAGATGTGGTCGGCGGCAAAATTGTGTCTGATGGGCAACTAAGTACCCTTCGACCAATAGTCCGTACTCCTAGCCAGTGACCCTCCCAAGGAATTGTACCCCAGCTGAACCCTCAATCGCAACTCCCACAGATACCATCCCGGATGACGTGCAGCCCTTGGGCATTGTAAGGTATGAAGAGGGGAAGCCCGCCCTCAGGAATCAGATGTCTAACACCCGGCCCCTACTACTACTCAAGCGGGTGCATAGAGAGATGGCCCACACGCCTCGGCCGCAGAATCATGTCTGTATGAACTATCCTGAGTGTACCAGCGGAATGGGAAACTAAGCACCAGCACCAGTACCCAGACTACCCATGGGACAAGCACAGACAAGGGCATACGGACGAGAAGCTGTCTCAATGACGAGGCCTCTATCCCTACGCGGGGTATCTACTGTCCATCCACATTTATTAAGGGCCAAGGGCCCTGCCTATAGCGACTACACCTAGCAAGTACAAGTGAAACTCAGCCCCTCCCAAATTAACAATTAAGTTAACCCCACTCCCCGAAGACCCTGACTAAACCTACACCCCCCCCCCCCCCC